TATATATATATATATATATAGAGAGAGAGAGAGACACACACACACACAGTGGTACCTCAGTTCTTGAACTCATTAGAACTCGAATTTCTTAAAAGTAGAACCAGCCAGTTCAAAAAAAAAAAACCTAGATCTCGATCTGAATCTCAGAAGTCAAACCGTAAATGCCGACCTAAGATAACTTGTACACGTGAGTCACGCAGCATGTCTCTCAGTGGAAACAAAGGGTAAAGCTTCAGTCTCAGCCTCGCATTGGCTGTGATAGCACCGTGCATGTTTACACTAGCTGAATACATATATTTAGACAGTAAAAAAATACATTAGACAATGATAGACAGTAACAGTAATTATTATTATATAATAAATACATTTAAAAATAAAGATTTCTTATTAATTATTTTAATATTACTAATAAACCATTAATACATGTAATTATAATGTATGCACCTATGTCTCCGTTCCGTCCCCAGCCAAGCGGGGACAGAACGGAGACATAGGTGCAGACATCAGGGAATATTGGGTTTAATTACATGTAAGGTAGGCAAAACGCAGACGGACAATACAATAACCGGACTGGGGAAACAAACTGAAACGCGGACTAAATACTACAACCAGAAACAGCTGATCACATGGACATTCCACACGGGGTTAACGAGGGGGCGTGACACACGGAAGGAGCGGACGATTGGGGCAGGACACGTTGTTTTTTTTTTTTAAAACTACACATTGTTTGGATGCATTTATTTTCTTACTTTACAAATTACTGTTTTGATAAATGTGCTTACATGTGTTTAGTACAATATATGCTCTTCTTGTTTTATCCAGCTCATTTTGTGTTTAAATGCTAAAAAAAAACATATTTGGGTGCAATTGTTTGGGGCCGGGATCCAATTAATTGGTTTTCCATTATTTCTTATGGGGAAAATTCGATCAGAACTCGAAATTTTTAGGATTCGATCCGGAGTTCTAAACGGATTAAATTCAAGTTCTGAGGTACCACTGTGTGTGTGTGTGTGTGTGTGTGTGTGTGTGTATATATATATATATTTGTAAACAAATTAATAAAGTAATAATTCTTGGTATAAAACCAGGGAATCTGCAATATTTTTACTGAATTAAGCCAGTATCCTAAGACTTTCTAAGCACTGCATGTATGTATGTGTGTGAAAATACATTCTTAGTGCATAATAACTAAATGGTCTTTGATACAAGAGGAGAAGAGAGAAGGAAAAAATCCAAAAAAACAACAGAGGGGAGGAACCAAAAACTTTCCTTAGTAAGGAAAAAAAACCAGACCGTGGGGGTCCATGGTTCACTGGCTGCCCAGTTCGCCCAGGCAGGCTAATATAAAATACTCGGGATCCCCAAAATAACACTGCCAGAGACTTATAAGCCCCCACTAGGTGTAAACATTTATAACACGATAGATTATATTATTTTTATAATTTTATCAGTATTGGTCTTTCTAAAAAATTATAATAAAATAAGATGTTTTTTAATATTTCAAGTTTTATACACATAATCTGGAAATCATCTTGCTACCCCCAACCAGTGGCTAGCGACCCTTCCATGTAATACAAAGGAAATGCTTTTACTGTATAAATGTATTTTGTAAACTCTGGTTAAAATTCATCTAATAGATGTTTAATATCCATCCATCTGTTCATTAATTTTCTAACTACTTACTAAGGTCAGAGATACTGCGGGTTTGGAGCCTATGCCAGGCAGCATAGGACATAAATCTCAAGTAAATAGCCATTATTACATAGTTATTTAAAGAATCAATTATAGTATTTCTGCCGCACCACATCCAATTTTCAAATTCTGTTGTACTTATGATCACTGAATAGTCTTATTAGCCACTGATTTGTTGGAAGATATTTGCTTACACTTGTAAATGGGCATTCATTGGAAGCTCAGACTGGGTCCACTTATGCCTAGTTGACTCCTCAACAGCACATACATCATTTAGGATGTTTAGTATCAGCTAAATAAAAATAATTGTAAATGTACAGTACTGTGTAAGCAAGGTATGCTAGTGGTTAAGTAAAAAAATACATGGTTGTATTGGATGGTTGCTGCAAGTACTATAGGGTCATTTTAGGAAAGGTTTTGAAATGGTTAAGCTAACACTTCTATAGACGTTTTACCATAGTTTTGCAGGAACATTAATATCATTCAAATATTATTTTCTTTGACTGTCTAAGACTTTTGCACAGTACTGTAAATGTAAGTATTGCAGTTACTAAGTTTGCCTTTGATTAAATAAACAAATAATTACCTGATTTTGCTATGATCACTACATTACTATAATAATCGTACTTAATATCAGATAGATGTAGAGTATGCCTCTGACCCAGTGGATCAGTTATGTAGCTTGATTGTCCTGGGCAAGAATGACCTTCCGTGGCGCTCCTTGTCATACCAAGGTTGGATCAGCTATTACTGAACAAGGTCTTCATGCTGGCAATATGAATTATAAAGCTCAATACAACTGCAAAAATGCAGCACAAAATATAAAATTCTAATGTGTAAGGAATCCACTTGCAGAGTCTCCGCAGTTTCGGCAAAATGGTGGTTTTTTGAACAGTAAAAAATAATATAATGTGACACAATGTAGACATACACTGGGTATTGAAAGGCAGCTCAGCACCACGACAGATATTTGTAAGTCTACTTAGTAGCTGGTATGAAACAACACATAGCAGTCCAAGTCATAAGAGAAAAGTACCAGCAGTAGTCACCAATGAGGGTAGGCGTAAGACCACTAATAAGGATGCTTGTCACAACTGTGGTAAGGTGGGACATTTCAAGAAAGATTGTTGGTCAAAGGGTGGAGGCTCAGCAGGATATAGGCCTAAACCAAGAGTGCATGGAGCAGAGGGATCCAGGGATAAGCTGGAATCAACCCCATCAGCTCCAACTATGACATATGAAGATATGAATAAACTGCTAAATGAAATCAAACAACTGATGGCTCAGGGTGATGCTCAGACTGACTCAGGTGTCAAGTCCAAGGAGAATGTGTATTTCAAACAATAGGGGTGTCTGGCCTCTGTTAGAAAGGTGGGTGATTTGAAATCTGATAGATTTGGCAGACCTAGTGTTGAAGTTGCAGTTAGAGGCCAGTGTGACAAATGGTTAGTAGACACAGGAGCTGCAATCACCCTCACTCATTTGGATTTTCACGCCATTGTTAAAACAACAGTTAATTGGGGTTGGTAGTGCAGTAGTAACGGCAAAACAGTCCGTTCCCATACAAGATGACATACATGTTGATGGTTCCAGGTACTGGGAGGATGGTCAGTACTGGATAGGCTGTGCCATTTGGCCACCTGAACTAGGTGAGGAGTCATTAATTAAATGCCCTCCAAGTAATTCAGCACAGAAGGCTGAAGTCATGGCTGTAGTAACAGCAGTTGAAAAGTATCAGGGCCCAATACATGTCCTTCAGACAGTGCTTTTGTAGTGCATGGTTTAACTGAGTATCTTGCATTATGGCAACAGAGAGGGTTCTGCACTGCAGATGGGAAGCCGACAATGTATCACAATAGCC